TTCAATAAAATTTTGAATGCAAGTCAACAAACGCAATGATGTGGCCTTGGATCCATCAGGAGAGGGTTAATACGTATACTATAGTTTCTTTGATCCTTTTTATAATTCTTTTTTATATTTCTAATGTTTTCTTTGATTTTGTCTTCAAATCAAATTCATTTTTTCCTTAATTATTCTGTAAGATGTGTCTTATCATTTTTCTCTTAAATGTTTTTCTAATTTTATTATACTTATTTTTCCACTGTTTCATAATTTCCATTAAATTTTCAATCTTGCTTCAAGTATGTCATCATTTTTAAGTTGAGTCTGAATCCAAATTTATTTTCACCATTGTAATCCCACTCCTGATAATAGAAAGCCTGATCTATTTAATGATAACAAAAATGTTAAATTTTTTTAGTTTCATGATTAACAAAATCAATTCTAAGAACTTATGAATGAAAACAAAGAATAATATTTAATATGTCAACCACAATATATCTGCCATATTTAGTACTGACAAGACCTTTTGCCCAATAATAGGGCTCATAAGGCTACTGGGATCTGATAGGCCTAACTTTACAAAATTAATTACAACTAATAGAAGTTCCACTTCTTTAATTTTTTTTTTTTTTAGATAACTGTTTGTTGAAACACAAACTCAATATTCACAGCACTAAATAGACTAACAAACCTGTTAACTTACTCTACAGACTGGCAGATGGTAATACAATAAATTAATTTGACTGCAGTATTTGAGCACAAATGAGCCAATTTTCCATGTAGTGGAAACTTCCCAAGAACTTGAGCTGAGGGTTGTAGGGGAGTGCTCAAAGCAAAAGAAAACTAATAGATACTTTTAAATATTGTTATATTTGTGTATATGATTCAAATATTTCCTAAACTTTGGGGAAAGTTCCACACATTCAGGCCATGATCATCACATTGTAAACTTCCTTTGAGCTAAGTAACAAGAATTTATAGGAACATCAAGATTAAAACATAGGCTACAATAAGATTAACATGTGTAGAAAGATGGCTAACTAGTGAAGATTAATCTTTAGGATGATCAAAACAGATGAGATTGACATACTTGGAAAAATGGCTAGCTGGTGGAGATATACTTGTAGCATGGTAAAGATAGATTAAACATTCAAAAATATATTTTACCACTGTAAATACATACTTCTGAAGTTATGTAATGATTCTTTTTTTTTCATTATGTTATCTGAGCCTTTCATCAGGCAAAACTGTACAACATCATGTGTGATATATGTGCTTTAAATATTTCCAAATAAGATTGTTGTGTTTTTTTGAGTGATTATGTCTTACATTGTCTTCTAAAACCTCATTACTGAATTGGTAGTTTTTGCCCATTACAAGTAACTTAAGTTAGTGAAAATTCTCAGAAAAAATATTCTACGAGATTAAAAAACTTGAAATTTTGAAAATCTAGTAGGCACCTGATCTTTATTTATTGATTTCTGTTGGAAAAAAAATGTTTTACAAATTTCTTTTATCATTTGTTACTAAACATGCTTTTAACACTAGTCACTCAACCTGTTTTTAATATTAGTCACTAAACATTTTCTTAACATTAGTCACTCAACTTACTTTTAATACTGGTTACTTTACCTACTATATGTTAAGATTGATGTAGGAGATTTACCTTAACTAAAACCTCAGCAATTTGCCAGGTCTGCTAAGCCAAAAGGAAAACAGACTGAAACAAAAAAAAAGTAACCACAACAAGGTGAGTATCCTGTGGATCTTCAACTGTGTCATAAACTCGTATTTGACAAGAATCTTTTTGAAACAGTCTTACCCCCTCTCACCCAAAGCTATCTAGATCCAAGACTGCCCTCTAAGCATTGCTAAAATTTGTTACTATCAACAAATCAGTCTTTTATACCTCATCAGTTTTGTGCCATTTCAGAGCATGCTGATCATGTGACTACCCTCCATCAATCATACTGTGCGCTCTATACTTGTGCAGCTAGGTCCCTCTACTGTTCTAGAGTAATCCTCACTTTCTAGATTGGCATTCTAGTGTATAGATGTGTGTTTTAACGTGCTCTCCATATCACTACAAATTTTTGATTTTGCTTGGTCATAAATTTATATCAATTTCAACTTCAGTTTTCCACTTTCTGTGTTTGATTTCCATTATTTCTACTCATTTGTTTTTGAAATATTTCTGTTTTCCAAATTCTAATGTGTTCATATAAATTTGAAATTTAAAATGGCAGATAATGAAATTACCATGACAGTATACAATGGTTCTTACACAAGTCCTTAGGGCTCAGGGTTGACAATGTCTGCTGGGGAAGCATGGACTTTAGTTCATGGGTAGTTCATGTCTTGCCTTTGCCTGATGATTCTTCCTTTCATGTTACAACTTTTTGTGAGGAAGGATATAACTCCTGAGTGGAAATTTTTTTCCTACATTTTCCACCTGTTACCGCACCTCCATGTAACCTCCTGGGTCAACATTTTCCACCTGTTACTTCACCTCCATGTAACTTCCTGGGTCAACATTTTCCACCTGTTACCGCACACTCCTATGTAACCTCCTGGGTCAACATTTTCCACCTGTTACCGCACCTCTATGTAACCTCCTGGATCAACATTTTCCACCTGTTACCGCACCTCCATGTAACCTCCTGGGTCAACATTTTCCACCTGTTACTGCACCTCCATGTAACTTCCTGGGTCAACATTTTCCACCTGTTACCGCACCTCCATGTAACCTCCTGGGTCAACATTTTCCACCTGTTACTGCACCTCCATGTAACCTCCTGGGTTAGGTACTGCTCTTTTTCCCAGGAGATCTGTGGTAAGATTTTCAGCATGTTTTCCTCACTTGCAGTAGGTATACTAATGTTTAGTGAGTTTATGTGAGCTTGTGTGAATTGACCTCATTTCTGCATAATTTAGGTCATTCATGTCTTCTCTGTTCAGTATTTGGTAAGTTAGATTTTTATAATTCTTTACCATATAAGTTACTTTAATTTATATTTACATTTAGAGTTTGATTATTACTTTGTTTTTGTTTAATTTTCAGTATATGTACAGGTTTTTCATGATAGTTATTGTTTGGGTAACTGTAACTTTGGCCAATTTTGTGGCTTTGTTTATTATTTATACTTCTTTTCACTGTTTATGTTATTTAATTTGTAAGTTCCTTTTTCATTGCTACTAGTCACATCTAATTAGGGATTAGATTTAAGTCAAAATTTATTGTGCTTGTTCATCAGGGTAGGTTTTACTTTCGTGTCCTTTGTCTTGTCGGTTCCTTGAGTGAACTTATAAGTTCAACATTTATGTGCCTTTTTATCCTTTAAGTTCTATTAGTGGTTTTGTACTTTAGGTGTTGTGTGTTGTTTCGTGTTTTAGGTCAAATTTCATAGTTTGGAGGCGTGTTATTTTTATGTACTTAGTAGACTACAAATTACTAGATTTGATACACCTCACGACAGTTCTGTGGGTTCTATCTAAAGGTTCCTGCCTTCAGTTCTGCTCCCCCCTCCCCCAATCCAATTCCAATATCTCCTTTCCTCTAAACTTCGTCCAGTTGTTGTGCCAAGTCTGTTCAAGACCAACTATGCAAAAAGATTGTTGATTGGGTGTGCCCACTCAACCTGGGTTTTACTCCCGTCTAATTGCTTTCCCTCAAAAGACAGGAGATTAGAGAGTTGTCATAGACCTATCAAGGTTGAATTCTTATCTAGAGCCACCTCGCTTCACCATGGAATCCTTTCTCTCACTTTGGTTTTTTTTTCCTTCTGGGACTCTGTATGACCGAAACATCGTGGTGAATGCCTATCTTCATATTCCAACTGCTCCAGAGGTTTCATAGTATAACTTTTAATACTGTATGTACAACTTCACAAAATTTGTCAAGCTTTCAGTAAATACTACAAATTAAGTATTTTTACTATGTATTCTTCTGTAAATATATGGAGTCAGAATATTGACTGCTCTTAGAGCAATATTAATGTTATGATTAAAATTACTTTTCTCTATCTGAAAATTTTTCAATTTCATTCGCATAGCTTCTAAGACCTCCTAAATAAATATCGAATGTTTCTTTTCAGTAAAACTATATTTTATTTTTTATGTTTTCTCTACCCTAACTCTGTATAGACTTGGTTGGTTTGACTGAACTTGTAATCATGGTAAAAAATAAATAAGTAAACAAATCTTCACTTTTTTTTTTTCTACTTTCTAAAATGACTGCAGATTGTAAGCGAAAACTACAGTTGTTTATCCTAAATAGCTTAAAGCTCATAACAGTCTACATTTATTTTTGCTTAATTTGACCTTTTTATTGCTCTTTGAACTGTGTTTAACTGATAATCCTGACATACAAGTTTTAAATCGTGTGGTAAACATGCAAGTCATGTTACTGTATAGAATGACCTAATACACAAGCTACTTGGAAGCATATCTTGTGGATAATTTCCGGTATAAATTCTTCCAAGGAACTTGAGCAATACAAGTTCTTTCTTAATTAAAACTAGTTTATTCTTTCTTGATACAACTTTGTAATACACAGAATTTCCACAGTCCCTTTAAACTTAACAACCTTTATAACACACGCTATAAATCACAGTGATTCACAAACTTCAGTTACGGTGCCTACTGTTCGCTTGACACAATTATCTATCTCTTCAATTTATCTGCATATCTCTTCAATCATGCTAGTTTTTCTCGCCAGGCTTATATACTAAAACAGAGGGCATCTAGCAAACACTCTGACATTCGCGAGGTTCCCCGATATTTCAACAAACTTCAGTCACGCGACTATCGCTGTCGTAACACTGCCCCTTCATTAGTATTGTTCATCCCGAACAATAGCCACTTGCATTAAACCAATAGATAATTAACAATAACTTAATTAAATGCACAGAATTTACAAACACAGAATTAAAATACAACAAAGTTTCTTAATTTTACAGGATATATCTTCATCCATACTGGTCTCCGTTTCATTGGCTTCTGCTTCACGTGGGGTTCATCTGCTCCATCAGGACATGTCCCATTATTGGTAGCAGTCACATCAGTGGGAGTTACTTCATTTACGGTTTCACTGTTTTCCTTCTCTAAACTTGTTAGAGTTTTTTTCATCAACAGTGGCTTTTTCAGGTGACACATCTTCAGCAGCGTCATTTGTTCTGTTGTTCATTTCATTACAACTGAAATGTCCTGGACCGTGATAACGCCAAAGCCTGTCGGCTTGCACCACCTTTGGCTTACCTCGCCGACCACATTTTATCCGGAAAGTCACGTCTGAGAGGCGATCCACTATGTCATATAGGCCTTTCCATGGAGATGACAACTTAGGAGACTTCCCTTTGGTCTTCCTGGGATTATACAACCATACCTTGTCTCCTGGTACAAAGCTGACTTCAGTAGATCTCTTATCATAACATAATTTCATCGAATCAGCAGACGTTTTCAAGTTTGAACGCACTTGATGGTGAATATTATCCATCCTTTCAGATAACACTTTCACGAATTCTGGTACATTTTCAGGTAACTCTTCGTAAGGTGGGCATCCTGTTATTAGATCCACTGGCAATCAAAGTTCCCGGCCAAACATCAGCTTTGCTGAAGTGTATCCAGTGGTTTCATGCTCTGCTGTCCTATAGGCCATCAACAGTGGAGGGAGTAAGACATCCCAGTCATCTTGGTGGCTATTACATAACTTTGCCAATTTCTGTCCTAGTGTCCAATTGTACTCTTCTACCATCCCATCAGACTGTGGGTGAAGTGGTGTTGTCCTGGACTTTCGTATGCCAAACAACTAGCAGCATTAATGGAACACAGCTGATTCAAAGTTACGGCCTTGATCTGAATGCAGTTCGTATGACATACCAAACCTGAAGAAGAAATCACTAATAGCTGAAGCTGCAGTTGTAGCTTCCTGATTTGGTATTGCATATGCCTCAGGCTACTTGGTGAGATAATCCATCACCACACAAATGTACCTGTTTCCAGCACGAGTTTGGTGCAAAGGACCAGCAATGTCAATGGCTACTCTTTCCTTTGGTGTGCCAACTTGATATAACTTCATTGGAGCACGTCCTTTATGCTTGGGTCCCCTTTTAGCACAACATGTACTGCATGTTCTGCACCATTCTTCCACATCTTGCCTCAAAACTATCCAGTAAAATCTCTGTCGTAGGTGACTCAATGTCTTATTAACTCCGAGATGTCCTCCTGTTAAACTACCATGGGATTGATGCAGCACAACTTCCCGTAACTTTCTCGGTGTAACTATTTGCCAGGTCGTCAGTTTCCCATCTCCGGAGAAGAATACCATCTT